GAAAATGAAAATTATGTTTGGAAAACACAAGTAGAATACTTTAATGTCGGGAATCGAAGTTGCGATGAAACCTGATAGTGCTATTACTTTCATGTCCTGAAAGGAGGAACGGACAGAGGCGATTTGAACAACGAAAGTCCATTTTGGAACGTTTGACAGAAAAAACGGTAGAAATAATTCTCTCGCGTTCAGGGCTCTTTTATATTTCCGTTCTGTACTCATTTTACATTCATATCAAGAGCTTATTCACCTACTCAAGTTTTCCAAAGAATCTTGGCTTTAACGAATATATAATTACTTACGCGCTAGACGTTAAGGAATAACACAGATTAGAGAAAGATCCATTCTCTTTCATTGGCTGTTATTTAACAGCGAGCTAGACTTGCTGACAAAAACTGCTTCCCTACCAGGATTTTTTAAACAAAGTTCTGAATAGCTGGATAAAGCTATCTAAAGCGACCGTGGAAAGAAAATCGACCGTGCACTACAACCAGATTAGCTCAATTCGATTTTGGTTCTGGTCTTGGGAAGCGTGGAATCTCTAAAAATTAGAATCAATAAATTTCTGAGAGTGTTTCAGTTTCAGAAACATTGTTTTCAGATCCGAGAAAAGATCCGGTGAGGATTACAAGCGGTTGGCGCGATCAAGCATAGTTGTTATTAGCGATCGTTTATATCTATTGTCAACATGGCTCTGATAATGGAGTAGAAGCTTTTTGTTGGTTTTTTCTCTGCAGACACAGGTGTTGAGGGGGTTATCGGTCATGTTGATTACCCAGCCTAAGAAGGCAACCGAATTGGAATTGGTTTAAACACACGTGCCGGACTTTTCATTAGATATCACACTAATTTGAAGTTTTTCTCTGTAGATTATTTTTGATAATTGATTTCTCTAAGTTCAAGATAAACACAATTTCAAAACACCACATAGTGTATTGTTCATCGTGGTGTAAGATAGGAAATGAACTTTATTCGTTTGTTTTACGATAGAGACACTTTTGATGTCGATCGCGACGTTTCGACTGCGATACTGCTAGTCTTCATCAGGCGATGAGGTCGATTCAACATCAACATCAAAGTAAGTGACTCTATTGTCAACATCAAAAGTGACTCTATCGTGAGACAAACGAAGACAAACGAATTAAGTTCATCTCCTACCACATAGTAACATTGTCACTCCAAAGGCTTCCTTTGGGATGAGCTGAAATAAATATTTATAACTATTATGACATTTATAACCATTTCCTGCCCACAATATTTTGTCGTGGGTTTCTGTTTACGTAGCGCGAGTGCTTTTTATATTTTCAGGCACAAAGGAAGCAGCTGATTAACCAGAACTACAATTACCAACTTCAATTTTAATCTCACTGAATGTGGCAAACTATTGAGATCAATTTTTTAACAACAACGGAAAAGCAGTAAGAGGATGGCAACTGAGTAAAACTCAGATCTCTCAAGTTTTTAGGTAAATTAGGAAAATTTAGGCTAAACTTATGCAAATGATTTAATCAGAATTATGACTTAACTTAGAAGTGTCGTTGGTCATTAGTGAGCAGCTTTGGAAGGGTTGTTTGAGAGATTATTTAACAGTTCGAATCAGCGAACGATTTTTAATTCATCTCAGAAAAAAAATCCTATCAGGAACACGCTGAGGAGATATGTGGTTAAAACGACACAGTCCTAACAATAGAGTCAAAGATATAACAATCTTCAAAGTACCTCAGGACTAAAGAAATATACAGACAAGCTGGAGGATCAACCTAAACGCCCGTTCACACCACGCCGGAGAGATATGAAAAAGCGAGTTTATCCTTTTGGTTGGATTCTACTGTTCTCACTAATATAGGTAAAACGCTCACCGAAAACAGAGCTTTTCAAACTATTGACGTCATTGCATGCTTTTTGGTATTTTTGGTTGGATAATTAGACACTTGTAATGCGCATGCCTAGGGGGATGAAGTCAAGTGTGTCAGCCGCCAGCTATACTTGGGAATTTAAGAAAACCATGACGGCAGCGGCAACGAGAATGTAACAAAAAAAGAGAAAATGAATAGACGAATAGTTCTTCATTTGTGTTTTTAACCTTTGTTCGTCTTCGGGCCGTCCCACGCAAAATAAGATCACAAAATCCTCAAATTTCCCGTAGCCCAAGACCTATAGTGGTGCAAAAATTTAGAGTGATCGCAAAAAGCCCGTTTTACAATAACAATACTTTTCTGATATTTTGATATATTACATTTACGGCAAGAAAATTTCATGGGCTGTACAATACCCATGTACAATAGGGTGAGACTCAGTGGCTGTTATTTTGATCTGCAATGATAAAGACTGCAGAAAGTTAAGTCCAACTACCTTACTTTACCAAGTCTCTTTCAAAAATGTCACTGTCGTAAATTGAAACGGGATTAACTCCAAACGAAATGTTTAAAGTACATTTTAGTTCACACATTTATTGATTGTTGCAATTCTGCTGGGTAATTCTTGAGAAAATAATTGTTATATAATTTTATGTAAATACGCAAGCCGGTTGATCAACATCAGTAATAGCTCTTATGCTGCACATAATTAAAATCGCGTATCAAAAACTTGAGAGGCCACTTGAAGTCGACTAGGATAGCTTGGTAATATTCCAAACTCTTTTACTGGCGTCGAAACTGACATCTCGCTACTTGTCGTTTCAGTCCGTTTCCTGCTAGATACGTTTTCCCTTCTGTTGAAGCACAAACTCAGCGCTTGTCTTATTTCCGGAATCCTTAATACATAGACGATGGGGTTGACAAAGGATCCCGAGAAATTAAGAACGTTTGCGACGAATTGAAAAGTTCGGTAGTCGAAATATGCATGACCAATACCTGAGAGGGTTAAACAGTCGAGTGTAATCAACGGCAACCAGGTTAGCAGTTCAACAAATGATACAAACAGCAACGTTTTTGTTAAGCGTTTGTTTTTCGCGGCTCTGTTTTGCTGTTGCGATGCGACATTTTTTTCGTGAGACTTTCTCCACGTACCGGTAGTACAAACGCATACGATGAGTATCTGAGTCAGAGCAACACAAACCCAAAAAGTCACCGTGGCTCTGAATGAAACAAAGTAACTCAATAATGTCCCTATCGCTGCAATTAGGAAGGCCAGTATCCACACCGTTAAAATGACTAACCAGTATGCTCGCGAGGACAACGTTCGGTGCTTAAATGGAAAGTTTACGGCGTAAAATCTCTCACAAGATACGAAAATCACCGCGAGGAACGAGGCTTGCGAGAGAGCTAAATCGACGAATATATAGAAAAAGACTACTCGCAGATTCCTGAACTGGACCAACCATAGTTGATAATAATTCCCAACGAAGTAAGTAATGAACAGAGGTAAAGATACAGCCCCTAACATGAAATCAGCAATAGCCAGGTTAACGACCAGAAGCAAAGTTTTCTTGCGTTGTATCTTGTTAAATGCAAAAAGCACAATGGTGGTACCGTTTCCGACTACAATGAAGATTAAAACGCAGAAAAATGCGACGCAAAATGCAATGCCAGCTGCCTGGGAAGGTAAAATTGCTGGCACATAATAAAAACTGTTGCTTTGGCTTGTGTTCTTTTCCGATACGTTGTACATATTTCGGATTAGATGCAGCTAAAAGTCTCTCGACGGTAGCAGATGCCTCAGTTTTCCAGCAATTTGTAGATAGACGAGTCTTGTGCCATGTGTAAGCCATTTTATACGCTGACAATGACTCTTCTGACGCAAGTTTGGTCATTAGAAAGAAAAGAAATTAACTTAATGCCCCAAGGCTTTAAAGTAACAACATCAAACGGATATACGAACAAAGGAGAACGGTAATCAGTGCAATACAGCTCCTTCTTGAAAAGTTTGCTTTTGAATACTTTGATATTTTGTGTTAAACAGTTTTAATTTTCCTTAACCGTTAACAAATTGGGAGTAAAGTTGCTCCTTTCCTAGCATGATGTATCTTTCATTCATTTACGATGCGGGTGAAACCAGCTCGAAGCCTATCTGGTGAACTACGCCGGATGCAGACTTCCGTTTGAACATCTTTCTCAAATTTGTCATGTTACGCTTTCATTGTTAATGATGGAAAACTTAATCTGGAGCCTACGTATGCATTTTAATTTGTTACACTCCACATCCAGATACACGATGGATCTGTTTCGTTGGGTCTCCATTACAAGTCAAAGATAAAAAAAGATGCCGTTTAAGATCCAAGACTCGCAATTACGCCAACGGGTTCTACACTATGTTATCCGAAAAAAAAAGAAAAAACAGACAATTTTATTGCCAGCGTGGCATGTGTGGTACTGAATTGTTCACAGACATACAAGAAATCAGCATGTTAAATTCCTATATACTCATATTAGAGAAAAAAAATTATAACAATTTTTTTTAATTACACCACCAGTTAATTAACTTCTCGATCCCTAACTGTTTTGAACAACTGTCTAACATATTACATTTTCCAGTATGGAGCAACGAACGGGTCTGAAGTCCGACGCAGGCTCTGACGCATTACGAAGGTCCCTAACTTCATCAATGATATTATCTCGACAGAAATAGAACGTAAGAGTTATCATAAATCAACAAAACGATGTTTGAATCACACATTTTCAATTGTATCTTTACCTAAGTTAAGCTGCTGTGTTCTGAAAATGTGCACCGGATTAAATAATGGTTCGTTACATCCGTCGGAATAAATTGCAGCAGAACATTTCCTGTTTGACTCCAGTTTCCTCTCTTCAAATCTCTGGCTAAAACATCAAGTTCGAAATTTAAAACATTCTTTTGTCAAACTGTAGAGTTATCATGTTTATTTGGTCGAAACCATCCGCGTAATAAATTTACCCTGTAACATCACAGAGTGAACACATTCTACGAAAGTTCAAATGAGACCAATGTTATTCCATGACCTTGCAATCTTCGAAACAAAGCTAAAAGAATGTGGTACACAGTTTTTATATATATATATATATATATATATATATATATGTCATGAAAGTTTGTGTGGTGGAACAGAAATAAGTAACTACTATATTCTAGTAAACACTTCTCACATTGTCCTGCATAAATTTTGCGTCCTGAGTATTTATCTATTTTTCTCGCACTTACTGTGCATAGTTTTGTCATGGAACTTTCTCAAATTCCTTTCTGTCAGAGATATAAAATTCTGTTGGCCAGCTTACACTGCAATTCGCACACAAGTGAAATTTCTGAGAATGTCACGGTACTGTGACAACGATCAAGATTGCAAAAGCTATCTATTCCCCTGATAACGTCCTCATGTAATGTCCTCATGTAATGTCCTCACGTGATGTCCTCATGTAACACTCACAGATTTTGCCGTCAGCCATGTGGAGTAATTTCTCCTCGTCTTGTTGTTGTGGATATTCTTCAGCTCAGTTTGATACTGAGCCCATCGCTGTTGAAGTCTCATCTGCCTGTCTTCTTGGCTAACAAGTCTTCATGAGAGGAGAGAGGAAATATTTAAGCTAAAAACTTTTAACTCTGATGACGAATAAAACTGAAAGGGATTCCATTTAGCGCACTGACATTTTCGGGTAAGGCACAATGTTTTGCAAGAGCTTCCCTCAGGATAGTATATGCCTAACAGTTGTGTTTATTTCACTCCTATTTATTTTCATAAAATATGAAATTAACTGGAATTTATTCTGGAATGATGGCTGCAAAATTTTCTGCGCTTGCGCGCAAAGAAGAGAAATAACAGGCTTTGAAATTGCGTTTATCAAATGTATCATCGTTTCTCCTGAGTAGAAGGAACTAAAGGTAACACACCTTCCCTGGATGAGAGAATGTAGCCTTGCTTCGATAGTATCAGTTTGCTTTGGAGGCGACACCTCAGAGGTTACATCTTCTCTCCAGTATTTTTTCAGGGTAGGGAAGAGTTGCAGATTGTAAGAAAACGGCACTGTTGTCTGAAAAACGAACAAAAAATGTTGCTCTTCAGCGTCATGACAGTTTCACTAGCGAAAAGACAAAGATTTCAACCTTCAGGTAAGGTTTCTGTAAACATTACGATTTAGAGTTTTAATTCGGCTGACAGTGAAATGAGTGAATAATATTCATCATTAAAAGGTGCTAGGCAATGTTTTTTTGGACTGTGACAGCATCATCAATTTGGAGGCACAGTCAGACAAGAACGTTCGATAATTGCCTAGTGCATGTTTAACAAGGAGATTCTATCTATGTTGTCCTGTATCTCTTCACTAATAGGTCCCATGACGTCAAAATGTGGTAAGGACAGAAAGTGAGCACACAAGGTACAGCCGATCATGTGACTGTTTTGGATCATACACTCACCTCTCTGTCCAATGCTTCTTGATTCTCTCCATTACTTTGCGCACCAATCAAAATTAAGACCTTGCCGTTAGCACAGATACATGGCAGCTGTGGTGAGAGCAGATAAGACTCGGGCAGCCCAACATGACATATTGCTGTACAGCTACAAACATCGTACATAGTAATTCGTCCACTCATTACAACAGCAGCAACCTAAAAAAAAAAGCGTTCCGTGAAACATGACTGTTTCGAGCTGCATCACCAAAAGACCCAACCATCCTAAGCACTGTGAATACGGTAACAGGTAATGTCGCCCCCTTACACGGTCGCTCCAAGTCCCTTCGCCCCCGAGAGAAGTTACGTAGCCCCGAAGTGTGGTCAACGGTCGCAATGTTGCAATTGCTAAGTTCCTAACTTAGAGCGACTTCATATTGTTAGCTTTTTGGACACGACCGTTGATTGAAGGTTTTGATAATCAGGCCGTTGAACCTCAAAGCTTTGAAACTTATGTCAAAATATGTCTAAATCCTTAATGAAACTAAAGAAAAAGTTGACGGCGACGCAACCTTACTTCGAGGCGATGGAACTTCACCTGGGTTGACGGAACTTGGGGCGTCACCGCACAAAGGAGAAACGTCACCTACAACCTTAAAAAACCACTACGTTTGAGTTGTTTCCTTACCACTTGTGGTGTCTGAGACATATTGACAACATTGGTAATGACCTCCTTGTCTACTGCAGATCTGAAAGAAGACGGCAAGCAAATCCTGTTTTCATCCATTTGGTTCAGTTAATGAAAGAAATATCTAAACTCAATTCTTGAACTTACACTATGTACGTCTGATTCGTTCATGCAGCTGAAACATCTTCAATTACATATCCATTATGTCCCAAATTCCATTACCAAGTTTTGTTATTTTTTAATGAGCTTACAAAATTTCATGACTATTCGTGACCTACACAATGACTATTCAGATAATTTTGGCAGTAAAATGCGTTTCGTAGAAACGTGTTTGAAAATAAAATCTTGTGAACGTACCTGTCCTCGAGGGGTTTAGCTGAGTGTGACAGAGCAACTCCACATTGCAGGAGACAGAATGTCCCATCATCACAGCTTACAATGAGATTGGCACAAGATGATGCTGATGATGGCGATAAATCATTACCCTGAGTTGTGATGAGGCCTTCATTGCTTGTCAAAAAGCACAGGACAAGTATTCTTCCTTTCTCAGTGATGGGACAGACCCTCAACAGAGTGCCTACAGCACAAACAAAATGGACACTGTTGACATTCCATAGCATTCCAAACCTCTGAAGTGTGATGTAAACGTTTTGTAAGCCACTACAAACTTTCCTAAAATGCCGGTTACATAAGCAATTGGCCCAGTGAGTCAAAGGGCGGATAACGCTATCCAAAGGATAAATTGCTATCCAGCGGATACGTTTTAACAAAACGAACAATCCACTACACTCTCCATTGGACAGAGATTTATCCAGGGGATACCATGGTTTCCCCTTTGAATAACCAAGTAATGGTGAATAGCCAGCGACCTAAGATCTTGGATGACTGGATTCATGTTGTCTTAAAATTTAAAGGATGCTTCTGTTTCAGTAGTCTGCTATTGCAGAACGAACAAATGAAAATCTGACGTTATATAATTTGCAAAAATCTCTCTATTATCAGCACTACTTCACTGGCAGTAGTATGCCTTTTTTCTCACCTCTATAGACATCCCAAACAACAACAGTTCCTGTGTTGAGACCCAAAGCCATAAAGCAGCCACATTCACTGACTGCACTAGTGATAATCTTTTCTGAGTGAGGCCATACTATGTCTGGCTTGTGTTCAAGATCTTGGGAAGACAACAAACTTGCTTTAACATTTAAACTCATTTAACATATCTTAAGAATGAAAACTTCCAATATCTGCACTGCAGAAACAATATAAATGCTGTAGGCTACTTTTCTCATTGCATTTTCTCACAAGCTTTTGAGTTTTCCCACATTAAGATATCTGTAAATACAATAGAGTGTGTATTGGCAACCATTATAAAGCCACTGCAACCTGGATAGTGCTTTACATTCAAGGAATGTCTGCTACACTGAAGATTTGACTTAAAAAAGGCTGTAACAATAAGACCCTTACCTTTAGCATTCTTGACAAGTGAATACATATATAACTGAGTACCTCCTGACCACCACACTGCTAAGGAGTTAACTTTACCTTCAAAAAAGACAATGAGCATAACTAAATAATTTCAGTGTACTTTGCTATGATCTTAATGATCTAAAAAACATTGGAGACTCTTAAGCAAGGTATGTTCATCAATACAAAAACATCATTAGCTTACTAGGTGCAGACTCCAATCCTGAAGGAATTAACCTGCTAGGTGCCAAGAAGTGTAATCTTGGGAAGCTGCAATCAATATAAAAACACCTTTTTTAATTGTAACAATTACAGCAACCACACCCAAGTTTGACTCCTTCGATGGCAAAACAAGTACTGAGATGAATAAATGGCTGACAGTTCCTAGTTATATGATATAGACAGCTCCATTCATCTGCTGTGATTGAGTTTGATTGACATCATACTTTGTAAGATTATGGTGTCCTAATGCATGAACTATCTATATACAAATTTCAAACTTACATAGTTTTCATGATTACTTAGGCCAAAGGGGCAACTATCTGAGGGAGGACATGTTACTCACAACATTATTACATGTTCTAGCTCAACTGAAATATCATGGTTCACATTTGACACAGAAAAAAAACAAACAAACGATGCAGAAGTTGATAAAGAACTATTCATAACTAAATTAATTAAAAATTTCAGACCTTGTCAAATCCTGGTCATCAATGTTCAGATATTTTAACTCCTCCTTGTGAAGCTGCTGGAATGCTTTGTCATAATTCTCAAAAAACTGCGTCATTAGCACATGGCTTGAACCAGTACCAATGACATTACCCTCTGCATCAGTAGCTTTCAAGGCTGCTGAACAGTTAGTGGCTGCACAAGGGCCCACTGGAGCAGGCGGTCGCACTCGTAATACAGCTGCTGGTTTGGTGAAGGAGATAACTGACAGGCCAGGTTGATGCTGTCCTGCCTGAGCTGAGCTTGGTCTTGACCCTGAAGGTGACTATCAGAGTAAAGAGGTTAGTAACAAAAACCTGGAAAGATGCATGTCAATCCTTGTTTCTACCGTAAAGAACCAACTGTATAGAGAGGGTTCTATTGACAACAAATACAGTGTAGGTAATTGCTCACTAAATTTAGCAGAGTAAATGGAATGTACTGAAAAAACTTTAAGATGAGCAGTCTCATATCAAATGTACACTAACCGTTCCTTCAGGTGGTTCTTGATCCTCAGTGGATTTAAGGAGCTGTTCTGCTGCAGCAATTTCCTCCAAATCCTGAAATGAAAATAATCAGGGCCATGAATAGCATACTCCCCTGGGTAATTCATAATTTTAGCAGCAACAGGATTCTTAAACATACATGTATATGTATCTAACAGAGTCAGAACTGAGAGTTGGAGATTTCCTCAGGAAGAAAGGGTGCTTAAGACTACATTATTTGAAGTACTGTTCAAGAACTAATGCATTCTTTGAAATGGCCACGTTATGCACCCTCTTCTGTCATATTTAAACCACAACTCTCTGCCAGATAGTTAATGATTGTTTGGCAAGAAATCATAATAATTATCACAAAGTAAGGAGAAGCAAAAGTGTCACCATGCACTAAAAATATTACTTTCAATGTCCAGCTGAAATTTGCTTCACATGAGCATGAGAAGGAAAAAATTTTTTCAAGAAAACATCCTTAAGACTCACTGGTGCGGATGATTCTGCTAATGTTGGTTTCCTTGAGCGAACTGCAGCTGCCATGGCTGTTTCCAATTCCTTGATCCATGTCTCTCTGGGAATTTTATAGATTTCCACCCAACTCTCTTTCATTGGAACTGCACCATAAATGAACATGAAGAAACATAATAATTTTATGTACATGTAAGTTCTCAGTCAAACACCACACTTGCAAACTCTTTCAATATTTTTTCATTCTGTAGCTCTGCCAAGACAAAAATGACCTCAATGTTTGGGTTAAATTACAGTTTTTTCAGCACATGTTAGCATATTTCAAAAATGTTCAAGGGATCCTGAGAAAGAACATGTCCCATGATGAGAAATTGCCACTTACAATTTTTCAAAGCTTCTCTTTAATTATAAAAACCCCTCAATAAGGTCTTTTCCTAGTTTTAACTGAATTTTTATCATTTTTTGTTGAGTTACCTTTCCACCCAACTCCAATGTATCCCCCATCTTGACTTATGTCAACAAGGGTTACTATGGCCTGCTTGCTTATACCTTCCTAAAGAGGATTGACATAAAAGTAATTTATAATACAAAGTAATTACCTTACCTAAGAACTCAAAATTATTTGTTCACCTATTAAAAAGCAGAAATACTATTGAATCTACTGGCATCTAGAAAGTTTTTATTTTTTGCGATTGTGGTTTTTAGTTTTCACTTGTTATTTAGTGATAAATTAAAGTGTAACTGTTCAACTATAAAATTCAAAAGAGTAATTTATGTCATTATGATGAAGAATCTAGTTGGCTACAACAGTGTTCTCAATTATTTTAAGCATGACAGGTAAAAGAAATTTTCAAACGAGTAAAGCAATCCTTTTACAAGATGAATTTTCAAGAATTCCAAGCAATTTTAAATGGTAATAAGAGGTACTACAGGCGGTAAATGTTAGTGGTTACTGCCTGAAAAGGACAACACTGTACAATACACAGTCACATACCGGCTCACTGAATGTTTTTATGAGATGAACCTTATCTCCAGTGAAACAGAAGAGCTTGGCACATCCTAAGTATATGGAATGAAGTCAATACATTTCACTAAAACTGCACTAAAAGCTCACTATTTTATGAAAAGTAACTAAGTTGAAAGAAGGATTATTGAAATATATTTGAAATTTTCTTATAGTATGCGTTTCATCTGAAAAGCTTATCATGATTAAGGACACTGTACATGCACATGCAAGGTAACAGAAGCTTCATACCTACATCATCCAAGGTTGAAATCAGAAAACATCCTTCCTGTAGGCAGCAGGCTGACATTTGTACAGTGTTATCTTCTAATTCTTCGTAGGAAGCAACTACAGTGTCTAACAAACTGTCTACCACTAAAAATCTATTAGTATTAGAAATAAACAAGTAATTTCCTTCGGCGGCCGTGCAAATGCAAGTCGTCCCGTTGTACTCAGACAGCTGTTTTGCAAGGTCAAACAGTGGCAATACCGCTTTGGAGCGCTTCAATGCCTTTCGTTCTTCAATGCATTCAATACGCTCCCAAGCAGCGTCGAAAATTTGCCTCAAAGTTTTGTCAACAAGTCGGAATGGTTGAGGCAATTCATCGAAAATTTGATCTGGATCCACAACAAAATTGTCATCGACTTCATCTTCCGAAGGAGGTGTTGTTGGTCGCTTCGGTTTCTTAATACGCATTTTTAAAAGTCTTATAATTCAAATGTTTTACTACTTTTCTCAGCAACGTGGTTGTTTGTAAGACATGAAAGCCTTTCCAAGATCTTGTTTATCCGCCATCTTGGCTTTCCTTGACAACGAAAAATTGCCCAGTCTCTCACGAGATCAATTGTCCGCGACCCAGTTTTGGAAGGTCAAAGGTACGCGAGACAGGACAAGTACTGAGGACACGTAGTAGTACGTAAGTCATTGATCGAACTTTTCAGCTTGAGGCAAGGCAATTTTTCAACTGTCGGGGAAAACATGGATGTAGTCGCTGCAGTGGTAAAGTACAATCAACAAACGTTAGGAAGGGATAAACTGTGTCGGTAAGTGAGAATCAAGCGAAGTTGTAACTACTTTACGTGTACCAGTTACATATGGAACAATAAATTATACAATTTTGGTGTTTTTTATCGATAAAATATTTTCTTCGTCGTAGATTGAAACGAATTTTGGTATTTAGAAATGTCGAATTATATCGGTATATTAAATTTTTAATGAATTCAGTAAATCTGTCTTTTGGTAAGCCATAGTACATAGGGGAGATTATTTGCCATCGCTATGGCCATTAATAAACACGTGGTATAATTTGAAGCAGTGTCATTGTACTGACGTCAAACATACGTACAAATGTTGGCACTTATTTCACGGTGGAGCAATTTTCTTGCATAGTTTTTTATACCACCCATGCACGAGATAAATTCTAGTGTTTCATTTACGTATGCCTGTCATGGGATAATAATCTGTTTGTTTTGAACAATCATGTGTTGATGAGAACGAGCATTGAGGGGGTCGCGTTATTCAAAGTCATGCAATCTTTATGTCATTAGAGCATGACAGCAACATTTGACTCTGAATTTGCTCTCCTTCAAAGCGAATACTAGCGATAAGTAGAATTTGATTTCTTCAATAAAATTCTTGGCGATTTCAAAAGATCACATAATGTGTACAGGCATTGACAGATATAAGATATATGGCTGACCATTCTTTGTGTAAATTGTACAAGAAGTAAAGTTTTCTTAGGCATCGCATCGCAGTTATTATAGTTATGTTTTTTTGTGTGCAGCCAGATAACTCTTTAACAAGCGTTCTATTCGATTTTCTGATTATCTGTCGAGCATTCTGATGTTTTCTTCTGCCTTTCTAACTATTGTGCAATGCCACACGTGGATTTAGATTAATTATGCAGTATTAATATTTGGTAATATTGTGAAGTTGTCATGAACACGTATCCAAGAAAATACATCATAGGTGAAAGTGATTGGTAACCACCACAGCCCACCACAAGTCAAAGTCCATATATCCACGAAAAACACAATTGAACCCCTTATTTTGAATAAATAGTCAATAAAATATTTGATTTCTATATCATTTTACTTTTTGGTTGTTGTCACCAGGATTACCATTTTGTTTTAGAAATAAATGTGTTAGTTCTCATTCTTTATTTTTGTTTTAAGTTCAGATGTTGCTTTTAATTTAAAAAATGTTAATTCTTGCCAAATGTGTTAGAGAAACCAAAATCATTTTGATCAATACTTGTGAATTTCTTGTCATTAGGATCATCCAGTATGCCTCAAGGTTGTCCAGTTATCTTCTTCAACAAGGTGGCGCAAGTGTTGATTGGGTGAATAGGGCAAAAACACTAGATAAACAGACAAGCACCTCAAGGAAATGTAAGGAGATTTTTAAGATGAGATTAATTAATATTAGGGCTTTAGTCAACCAGAGACTGCTTGAACTTTGTACAGGTCTACAGGGGGCTTTCCTTTTCAAATTTAGTAGCAAAAGAGAAAATTTGAACTGGCAGAGAACATGGGCAGCAATCCATTCAACATCCATTTCTTTCATAATATCCTTTAAAACAAGGAAATTTTCATTTTGACCATTATTGCAAAAAGATTCACAGACAGCAAATAATGTCAATTAGTAGACAAAATTTAAAAATTTTTTAAGTCATATAGTTTTCCCTGTTTACCATGACTTTGAAAATCAGAAAAACACTGATGTCACTTGTACAATTTCTTTTTCAGTATTTAGGTTGGGAAAGAGTTTGGACATGATAATTGGTGCAATTAGAGCTAAGGACATCCATCATGACAACATTCTGAAGGTCCTGATCATCTGCCGACGAGCTACATTAGCCCTGTATTATATCATAGATCACATAACTTGGGCTGCAAGATTGGGACTCTATAAAGCTACCCCAAAGGATTGGTCCAAGTTTCAGGCAAAATTCTGGGCCATTGCTCTTGTGTTTGGCCTTCTCAGAAACCTGTATGAGATCTTGAACCTAATTTTTGTTCCAATTAAGAAACATGATGGTGGAGAAGAAAGCAATTCGCAAGGAAGTTCTGTTACATCCCGGCTGATGACCCGTCCCCAACTTTTTCTTGACACAGTCAAGAATTCAGCTGATTTCCTGTTGCCTTTCAATGTTATGGGTGTAATTGAGTTGAATGTTGGTTTGGCTGGGTTACTGGGATTAATTTCATCAATTGCAGGTGCAATACCTGTTTGGAATCCTAACATGAAATTGAAACCTTCTTAGAGATGCAATTGGATGATTTGATGTAGTGTACTTGTGATCAAGGCTGACAACTGGCTACACTATAGAACTCTTAATTTTATCAAGGGGGAATTTTTTGTGCTATTACACTGTTATCAGTGAGTGTAGTGCATTTAGTTGCAGTGTTAGAGAGGCAACCTTTCTTAAGGAAACAGTTGTCATTATACTCTATACTGCTGTATTTTAATATATATAATTTAATTTGTGCCATTAATATTAGTGAATACAAAATTTGTTTGAAGTGACCCATGCCTAGCAGCACAACTCTATCATGTAGCTGAAATAATTTTTCCGATGAGATGGTCAGTGACTTGAAGAAATTACTGATTTATTCTTTTTAACCCTTAAGAATTGGCCAATCTTCCTGAGATGTCTGGGGAATCAAGAATTACTTATTAATAAATACATGCAGGTAGTTGTATTTTCAATTTCAAATGATAGGCCGGAGTAAGAACAAAAAAGCTGATGACAGTGAAAAACATCTGTTGTGAACACTAATATATTTTCTATACTATTTTGCTTTGAACTTGATGGCTTGTGGTGTAGGTTAAAAAAAATATATGAAAACCTAATGAAATAAACTTTCCATAATTTTTTTTTCCAGCACTATGTTAATTCTTGTTAAATTCCTGTTCCTCACAATGACACAAGCTTAGGGAAATGCTGTCTCAGCAGAGGGACATGCCAAACGTTACAGAGCCCCAAACATGCAGAATGAAAAGCTCAATGTCCAGAAAAAGCAATTCTTTTTAAACCAGTATTGTGCTTTGGAGCACATTGGGGAAGCACTCCTTTGAAGTGAACACCTTCACCTAGAAATGATTGCTTGCACATCCATAAATGTCAAATCTCAATTTGAATATATAAAGATGAGTGATCTTTGAACTTCTATTTACATTAAACTTTACAATCAGCTTGAAACTCAAATATGTTTTATCCTAATTGGAAAAATTTTTAAACTCATTGCACAATGTTTTTGCTATAAAATGTTATAAATAAGTTCATCAGATTAATTATATAAATTATTGTTTCTACACCTGCTTTTAGAATATCAATGTATTTATCATACCAAACAAACTCAATTTGTGTGAAGAAATAACAAATGAAAACTGTTATAAGGAAATATAAAGGTAAATCCTAGTTTTCCTCAAATCTCCTACTCAACTCGGCAGTGACTATTGTGATAAAAGTTATCTTCGACCTATACTTATTGTATAGTTAGAGATTAGAATTCTCTATTATTCTTTATTTGCAACAGTGCTCATTGCATTTTAAACCATTTAAAATGACTACCATTATCGCTTTTCAATATCAGTCTTCCCGACATGAATACATTGTCAGTCATTTGAAGCAGTACAAAAAAAGTTTCGGCAACAAACAACAACCAAAAGATAGCTGAGAATCCGCTTCTGTCAATGCAACTGTAGCAGTTAAAACTGCTTGCCATTAATTTATTCCTTGAAGGTTTCTTTGTCACCCCAATTCTTACACAACGAATATTGTGAGATCAAGAATTCATCTCAAAGCAGTTTGCTATTGACAATAGTTTCTCTAACTGAGAGCTGCCTCCATTTCACTGTACCATCTCCCCCACAAGAGAACAACTGTCCATTGTGGAGGTTCATAAGAGCCACACCCTGAGTCCCATACTTGAGAAGGTAAGCCCCTTTGCCATGTTCTTTTGGGTAACACTCTAACTCTTCGTGTACTGACAAACCCCAGACCTGAAATGTGAAAGTAATGCTATAAGTAACGGTACAGAAGTGAATAAGAACGAAAACAAGTAATCCCCGTGAGTTATTTACAGAGACCTGAACTTGCTGTTCCAATGAAGATCAACATAATTTCCACAACCAACCAATTACAATGGTTGTCTGGTTCTTCAAAATTGTGCGAGCGCATAGCTGCTCCGATGGACGCGAACTGTATCAAAACGAGCAAAAAGGGATACTGGTAACAACCAATCTACATAAAAGGTTTAATCATAAGCTAATGATGATTACACAATGATAATTCTAAATGTCTTTCGCCGCGACGGGTAAAAAGTAAGCTAAAGGCTGTAACAAGAACAAATTGAGTTCAAAAGTAAACATTTTTCCCGTGCGCTTGTCTCATTAAAACACGATTGTACTCAAACCAAGTTATTCCGTTTACGGATACCTTAATATCGCCATCTTCAGAGCCTGAAATGAAGAATTCTTCATTTTCATCCACAACTATGCTCTTCACTGGCGCATCATGAGCTAAAAATGTGTGTCGCAGTTGACGTTGTCGTAGATCAAATATACCTTACAACTGTTAAGGACGCTCATTTTAGTTTTCGAAACCTTTCATAAGACATTCATGAGGAAAACACAGAGAGGATATGGACAAAAAGCAGGAACAAAGTATAGCGGTAGAGGAAAAAACTACTGAACCATTAAATTTTAAATATAACATTCCTTTTCTACGAAACACCACCATTTGCTCAGTTTAAGTCTGAGTGAATCACGGCTCAGATTGCCTGATCTGACAGCTTCTCTGTAGAAGTTCACTGAAGTGATGATCTCGCTCTCACCCAACCCATCTCTATGGAGAAGGCTGAGCCGGCGATGAAAGGAAGTCAACAGTTGAACTTTTAAGTCACAGTCACCTCTTCCAAACGATACAAAGCCAACTTCGCCATCCCTAGTAGCTTTAACTTTTTTCGCGAGTTACTTAAGGATACAAATATTTCCTTTACGTCCTCCTGAAATGAGTAGTTGCTGACCAGGAACGTGGGCAAGACAGGGCGCTCCATTTTCATGACAAATGAATGCTGTCGAACAAGGATTAAAAGAGGAAAACTTTATCAAACGCTCCGATTAATCAAAAACTGCAACTGTGGTGTTAATTTACATGTAAGCATCCCAGTCTCCATCGGAAATGCTGTTTGGTCTCGTCACGCGTGCGCACGAAAACACTTGTAACCAGGCTAGTCACACTTGGAGTGACCAGCAGGTTCTGATTGGCTGTGACGTTCGCGGCAATATTTTTTTTTCTTTTTTGGGTTTCTGTTTTGTTTGTTTGTTTTTTTTACCAAATTACTGATCGTGTATTGATCTTGTACTGCTCAAAAATGCGAAAAAAGATACTTATTCTCAAAAAATTAATATTAAATGAGTCTTACCATGAACAAGTGAACTGTGCTGAGGGACTAAAGTATCCCAAAGGCAAACATTGCTGAGAGGAAGAAAAACAATTCCGTAAATAAGCTAAAGCAATCTGTAAGCTGGAAAGGAAATTCTAGAAAACCTAATCGATGCCAGGGTACAGCGAACTGAAACGTGTTTATACGAAGCTTCAATAGTAACAACAAAACTGCCAAAACCAACGTAATTGTGAAGCTTACCTTCCATCCGAGGAGTGTCCTGCCGTTGCTATAAAGCTCGAGGAGCCAACAAACGCAAAGTCATTGGTCTGTTTATTGTGACACTTTAGAGTCTGGAATAATTCGAGAAAATTGAGATTAGCTATCGACGGTTAATGTTCATGTTTTTTGAGTCGCATGTAAAGCAGCAGGTAGAGCTGTTAACATAAAAGTCTTACCAGAAAAGGATCAGCAGATGTGGATGTACTACTAACTTGCCATAAAAGCAACTGACCACTGGCATCTGAAATTCCGACCTGCAAAACATGCAGACAACAGAGTGGTAACAACAAGTCTGTAAGTGGGACGACCGTGAAAGATTTCATGAAAGTTTTCAATGTCTCATCAAAGATGGTAAGTCAATTTTCTTTTAAAATTTTCATGGATGTTTATCACTGAGTGTATCATTCAAATGGTGAACCTCTCACGTAAAATTATAAAGCCTGAAAAACTGCAGGTAATCATTACCTGCAGTAATGATCAAAATATTCAACATTCCGCGAGGTAAAATATTGGTATTTATCCAGCCTAGCCCATGAAATAAGCAAACTATAACAAAAAGCGGCCAAAAGCCAGACCATCAAAACCTTCAACTTCCAAAATTCCTCAAAGTGAATTGGTGATGAGATGAGATAATTTTGCCGGCAAGGTGTTCATTTAATATAACAGGAAATTCTCTCAACTTATCTACCAGGAAATGTGTTGCAGCTCGAAGGGAGAATTACGAAACAGATCCTGAATATACCTTGTTTCCATGCGGACTGAACCGTGCTCTCGTCACTCTTTGATGCGAACCAGATGTACGATGGGATGTGATCTCCTGCGCATGACCAAACTCCCACATACGAATGCTTCCGTCTTGAGAGCCGGAAATGTCTATGCGACGAAAAAGATCAAACACACGTCAGGTTCAAATTCTAAAACAGTAATAAAAAATGATGGCAGCTTCTGTTTAAACTCACAGTAAGGGAGATGAGGGTGAGAATCCATCCGTTTGACACCATGCACAGTTCTCCTGAATAGCTGCAAAAATGAGAAACACGTATATAGTTTTCAGCGATCCTTGACACAAAATTAGAACTTTCTCTCTGATTGCATTTTTCCTGAACTTCGAGGCATTTTAACGTTAGGAGTTCCAGCCGCTTGGAACATCACTTCTCCTCCCCACCGATTTAAAGTAGCAAACAGGTTATGTTATTCTACTACATGTTGGAACAACATTGTTACACTTCTATTGTTTTTTAAATACGTCGCCCTCTCTTCTCGCTATTCGTAACTTGTATCAACAGCGGAGCAAAATCTCTGACAGAACACTCAGCAGGATCGATGAAAGAGACAGCACTAACCACTGTGCCTGAGTGAAGAGACTGTCCACCTGGTGTACTCTTCTGAGGGCTGATATTTCCAGTTTGATTAAAATCGGACTCATCACTAAATGAAACAATGGAAAAAAATGAAGTAAACGATTAAAAAGATTCCAACGGTCAGGAGGTACTGTAATAATATGTGAAAACGGGCTTAACTGTACAATATGTTCGAGAAAAAATTCGTAAGAATTTCAGTAAGTAGCAAGCAAAGGGGTATATTGGAGTATCATTGTCTGAGCTTTCACTACAGTGACCGCATAAGAATGTGCGTGCTTGGGTTAGCATTAATGTACTTAAACAACGCAAAGAACATTATTGAAACATCTGGAATTAATAACTTGCAGCTTTTTAAGGCAACAATGAACTGAAGAAAGCCTTCAGATCCAGTTAAGAAATGACTGCTTTTCCACCACACCCATCCGACACAGTCACAAGCGATATTGAGCTACAACATCTTTATGTAAATACGTTAGCTGAGATTTCCAACTTCACTCGAAGGCGTTTACAACACCTCCTTGCAATCAGCATTAAATCAATACTGCTACATAACCTTTCAAAAACTTAACAAGACTGCCTAGTTTAAAGAAAATACCTTCTTCGCTGAGCGTCACTCTGTTCGCGTTCAACTTCATCTTCAGCCCACAGCAGAGGTTCAGGACTTAACACGCGAGAAATATCCACTTCTTCTACGTCCTTGAGACTCCCTACAGCGATGCAGTTTGGATTTGCCTACAACACAAAGTTAAAAGATTACATTTAAGGCCGACGTCTTAGGTTACTGAGGCTGTATCTAAGCTGATAGATGAGACTGTATCTACCACAGACAACGTAGGTAGCTGTATTAACATAGTAGATGGCTATATATATATATATATATATATATATATATATATATATATATATGTATATATATATATATATATATATATATATATATATATATATATATATGTATGTATATTGTAGACAAAGTAGACAGTAAATAAATTTGTCCATAGCGTGAATAAAGCATCAGACGAAGTGATCTTATGCTGTTCGAGCATGAATATACACCTAAACATCTTTGAAGAAAACACTACCACACACACACGCGATAATTATACCACTCGGTAGCGAGCTTATAAATAAGTTAATGTCTGAACGTGAACATGCTAATCGCACGTGCAACATTAGTTCGGTTGCCTTCCTAAGAGCGGTCATATGGCAATTGAACCTCCATGATGTAAAAGAGGATCCCAAAACTATAAAGTACAGTGATACCTTGTTGATGCAAAACGTGTTGATACCCTCTGGGTCTTTATATAAAACTTTCACAGGCTTTGCGTCTGATACAACATCCACGTGATCAAACTAGTACATAGAAGACAACAGCGAAAATATGATTTATAAAGAAAAAGGAAAAGTAACCGCAGTACTGGCTTGAACTTCAACTTTGTTCAAGTCCTATTTAGCAATAAAGCTTACAAACTTTCCACTCGGTCGAGACAATTTTGTCCAGAACAGAAAAATCTCAGTTTGGATATTATGAGTCCAAACATTTTCTCGACATTTTTAAACAGACGCACAGAAGGGATGAACCGTCTTCTTATAACTTGAGAAAAAAGGTTCGAGGAGTATACCTCTTCCATCGTCGTCATGTCATTCTTGAAGATATTCTGTATGAAGATCTCCTGTATAGCTTCTTGATGTACCAAAGTTCGCCATAACCGTTTAACAGGCTCTGCAGAGTTACGAGTGGATCTACAGAAAAGAAATATATCCAGTTACAAAAGTGGCAGGATGTTTGTCGGTCTTCGTTTGTTTGATCGGTATTGTTTCGTTTGTTCGTTCGTTTGGACGGTCCATGGTTCGGTCAGTTGGTCAGTTTTCGGTCGGTCGGTCGGTTTACTCAGTCGTCCGTTTATTTGTCTGTGGGGTCATTGGGTCGTTCCTTTGAGACCGCCCCTGATTCAATATTCTTTATTAATACAGTTAGAGCCATGTTTGCTTATACAGCTACAGGCTAGAGAGGTGTGGCACGGAAGCCACGACATCACTGATATTGGTTTTACCTAAAAGGAGTATTTTGTGGATCCATCAGAGCCTTGTATCTCATTAAAGCTCGTCCACCTCTTGGAAATCCATCTTGGCTTACAGGGAACTGTGAGATGAAGTCAGGGGGAGGTCCCTGGAAAGTCTCGAGTTTGTCGAGGAAAGTTTGGGTCCAGCGCTCCACCGTCTTCAGAGCCGCATGTAACTGAGGTGATAAAGAGGGTAAATCTGAGGAAAGAAGCCGAAAACAAAGCTTGAAATATGTCGGTGACCACCATAGAGCAAAAATAAACTAATACAACTAAAGTGTTAACATTCTACAGAGAATTTCAGAACATAGTCTTAATCTTACCGGTTAGTTCAAATCCCACATCTGGCAGAAAAGATTGTAAATTAGTGAGCACCAGTTTGCCAATGGTGTAATTCATGAGACACCAGCCATAAGATTCAGGATCTAGGTGATCACGTGCTTCAGTTTTCTTCCTTCGTTTGGTTGAGAAATACTCAAGATCACTTTCAGCGTCACTTTCAAACAAGTCATCATCTTCCGAGTCGCTTGCATCATCTTCAGAATCGTAATGTTTCACGCCTTTCTCTCCAATTAGTGGGGGCTGAAATATTAACAAAAGTATACCACAAGGCTAATTGAATAATGCATGTCTAGTTACTTTGTAAATTCGAATAGCTCTTGAGGAATTTTATCCGTGAACTTTCAAACAACTAACGACTTTGTTAATAGAAAACTTCAAAACAATGTCATCTGAGCAACTGCGCACCTACCCCTCCCCTAATTAACCCAACAACAGTCGACTGATAACAAGTTGAGGTTTCTGTTGGGTTTGGCGAAGGGTAGATGCGCAGTGCACAGATACTGACAATGATCACGAAACTTCAAAGACAATACGCAAAAGCACTTACAGTTACTAAAGATAAATAGTCAATACTCAATAATCGATGATTGATGAACCAAACAATTACTTTCAATACAAATGTAGAGTACTCACACAATCATAAAGCACTGCTAGTAGTCCTCTTGGTACACAAAATTATTAATAACGAAATACAATACATGGAAACAGGTTAAACAATTATTCGCAAATTACTTATTGTGGGTTCACTTGACAGACCAATTCAAACTTAACGATGTAGCAAAACAATCATGGCGCGCACCGTACCTTGCTGATAAAGTATTCCATAAGAGTACTTCTTGGTGGAATGAACTGCTCAACGTAAACAGGTTTCACATCAGTTGACAGCCACTGAGACATGGTTTCTGTCAGACTCTGGCCTAGCAGCTTGAAGTTCCATCTTTGCCGAGCACCTTGCCAATACTTGTCACCTCTTCCTCGCCCATTAGGATTGACAGCCGCCGAAGTTCTTTGCTTCTTTTTGACTTCAGTCCCTACGCCTTACAAGATAAAATTACCTAATGTGGATTTCCTCCTTTACGTAAACCGAATGTGATGAACGATCGAAACCGTGACTGGGTTAACACGAGCAAAAAAATAAGGGGAAAATAAACCGTGCTTTCTTAACCATTTTTGTAAGCTTTGAATGCATTCGGGTGCTCGCATACTTTCCCTTCTTTACATTTCGTCCGTTAAGGTGATGATCTGTCTTCTGGTCAAACTAGCTTAACAAGCCGGACTCCACTCTTGATTGCCCGCTTGTTCATCGAAACTAACTCTGCCCGTGAAAATCTATGTGAGCCCCTGGCTCATTTACACCTTCAAGAGGAGAGAATAAAGTATTTGCACTAAAAAGCACGCGCTCATCGACTGGAATTTGAAATCAGACTGCTGCACATATCACGTTACCGCAAACACCCCATTCATTCGTGATCGCGCATCTAAATGTAACACGATTGCATGCAACAAGTTCTTCTGTTTTCGCCACATATAAGTTTGAAACCCACCAGCAGATTGTTGAACAGCGGTCCTCAGGCCTCCACCGAACACCAAACCCCACATGCCCGACTTGAGTGAATTTACAACCAATCGATAGAGTTGATTGGGTTGAGAATTGGACCATGCAAGAGCAAGCAGACTCAAGTATACGGCAACACACGACTCTGCCAACAGAATCCGCAGCTTGGTGCTGTTATCTTTCTGTTCAGTAGCCAGCAGCGAGAGGAGCAAGCGAACACCTGGCCACTTGGAAGGAGCACCGGAAAGCGCTGCTGGTTTGTTTGCATCCGATGAGCTGCTTTTCTCTGCAAAGAACCACCATTAAAGTATTTAGGAAATGATGAGGTGTTTCTAAGATATCGTAAGTATATCACAACCAGTACCTGTGGCAGGCTTTGACCCACTCGAAGAATTCTCTTCCTGAGTCATGCCGGTTAAACTTTGATAGATGCAGTCTGACAAGGTTCCTGTTAGGTTATGCAGCACATTTGCCAAGCGAATCGGATGGCTGGGGGATGGTGGACCAGGCAAACTGTGCAAAACAAAGTGTTGAGGATGAAATAACAGATTGTTTCAGCATAAGATTCCTTAGATAAGTTCGTCAACGTACGTATGAAGGGGCACGAGATGACATGATATTACCGGAAGCACAATGAGACATGAAATGGCGTGAAGTGACATGAAATGACAGGCCGTGACTTGAAGTGAAACAAAAGGAATTATGAACACAAATCAATATCACCTGAACACAAATCGAAGAATATCCTGCGTGAGAGATTGTAAGAATCCTAGAGGGCTGGCCAGAAACGAGGAAGCAGATACTGAGGCCAGGATGAGAGGTGGAACAGAAGGTCCTGCTGATGGTACGCGCAGGGGAGATACCAAGGAATGCATCTGCTCCACCTCATGAAGGAGAAGTAGAAGTTCCATATTCATTGCTACATAGAAAAGAACAATACACATCTTTGAACACCTCATATTCCATTAAATTTGGCAATAATGTCTGATTGAATTTTGCTCATCTTTCGTCAACAAAACACCGTTTGGAGCTTTACGACAAACGCGATAAACTACGTTAACTCTTCAGTAACCTGGTGTTTTTTTGTGCCACCACAACGTAGGTCTAATTTCAGCCTTATTGGATTAAAGCTGATAAAATATTTAGTTTTCTTGATCATACTTTACAGTGAAGCCATTAAAACGAAATGAGCAGCTTCTTTGATTCTAGATAAGTCTGTCCAAAATCAAAACGCTTAGCGTCTCCCTGCTTTTTACAGGGGTCTGTTGCCAAACGTTTAAGTTCAACATTATGAAAATATGTTACCTGCTAGATCTCCGCCGCTAGCTCCGTGAAGCGAACAATAATTCAGTAAAATTGTGAGAAGCTTCTGGTTCTTTTTCAGCCACTGAATATGCTTGGCTGAGCGATCGATTTTTAACGCAATGTAATTTTTATCTACCGCACTTCCCTCTTGCGATTCATCTGCTGTTCAGACAAAATATCACTGATGATTAGTAGGATAAGAAGTAGTTTGGTATCTTGAACTCTTCCTTTGCATGCATCAAACTCCCTACAAATAGGCACGCAACTGTGACAAGAAGAATCTTTCAGGCACACCATCGTCGTTCAATACAGTACAAGGTACACACATAGTAAACATTTTGTACTCATGTAATATAACAATACACATGGATAATCTGATCTTAAAGACTGTCTTATTTCAAATTATACCAATTTGTTATCATCACAGTTATCAAATAGCACACCATGCCATAATTAGTCACAAGTTGACTTTTTTCTATTTCATACAGGACGGTAGATCCAAACTCGTTTCCTGTTCAAACCTGTCTACAAGATATCAATTCACGATCCGACCACCGTCCATCCTCTGTATATTACGTAAAGGTAAAGGAGACAACACAACTCTATCGCAGAAAATAAAAGCGTTTCATACCTGATTGAATGTTAATTTCAACAGTGTCTTCCTCCTCATCTTCACTTTCCTCTGCAACAATACCATAGTCAGACATCTTGTGTAGCACTCCGAGCTCTTTTTCTAACCACTTGATGAAAAACGGTCGCAAATCTTCATCAGCAATCTCGCAACTTGATGGCAAACCGTGTAGTTCGTTGATTAAGAGTTTAATAATTGCAGAAAACTTCATCTGTTGTGCAACTACGTCCAAATGTCGCGTCTCCTTAGGCTTGGAGGGAAGTTCATCATTATGTTCCTTAGAATCACTTGCGGTGTTGTCTTTGTTATACTCAGAGTCTTCATTAGTTTCGTAACTATTGTTGGGGTAAGATGATTGGTTGGATTCTAAGCCGTTTACACCATCTAGCCCCAGTCCACCCAGCTTCTCGGACACAGGTTGACTCCAATCAAATCCATTTGAAAGGTCGTCAAGACCGTCACCACTCAATTTAGACGACACAGGTTTTGACCAATCAAAATCGTCGACACTTCCACCTCCTAGATCAGGCGCTAAAGGCTGACTCCAGTCAAAATCAGCCGCTGAATCGCCACCAAGCTTGGACGAGACTGGCTTACTCCAATCGAAGTCATCAGCTCTCCCATTCACGGCTGTATCAGCGCCACCGAAGGAAAAATCGCCGAGTGTTCCTGTGCTGATCATATCACCTGTCACATCGTCTGCCATGTTGCTAGTGTCCTCCAGGGGGGAATCACCTTCCGCAACAGTGCTGGCATCTCCCGCAGATATGTCAGTAGCTGGAAGCTCCATCAATACCTGTAGCGCTAAAGCGGGACATCCAGAATTCAAATGCGCGTGAGCAGTCTTGAAAAACAGTTGCCTCTCCATGGGCGTCAAAGGTTCGTCAAGTATTTCCTCTTTGCGGATGCTTCCCTGTCTGAGATAAAGGTTTCTCACACCTGATTTCATTTTGATCTTGTTGTCGTGTTCATACATGAATCGTCTTCTTTTAATCAGGGGATGTTTGCGCAGGTAGAGATAAAAATTGAAGACATCAGGATTACCGCTTGCGGCTAAAGAATTACATTTTTTCTCCTGGGACTTGTGTCCTGTTGGTTCAAATATCAATGTTTCCAATGCTTGGTTGTAGTCTTTCAAGATCCAGTAAGCGATGCTTCTGAGGAATGGGTCTGAAATGTTCACAAAAAAAGAGCAAGCGATCTCAGGTTATACTGTAAACCAACAATCGCTTCAGACGAGAGAAAGAAGAGGGGGGGGGCTTAAGACCCCTTCAAGGTTAGTACTTGAAACCTTGCAGCTATCACATCCATAAGAAAAAGCCTAAATTTAGGTTTTTTAAATTTTTTTTTAATTCATCCACACCACGGTAATTAACCACCATGAAAGATTTCGCTTACCCTGAGTTGGCTCATGCGCACTACCACCTTGACCTAGCAAGCACTCCTTTAAGATGCGAGTGTAGAGGACCCCCCCTGAAGCGTCTTCCTCATACAGCCGAGCGAGGACCATGGCTAGTTGAACGTCGTGCAATCGACTGATGCAAACCTGAAAAGTGGGAGCAGAAGCAATTTAAACATAGCTTAATGCCTCAAGAACGGCTTGAAAGGAACGCCTGTTTTAGTAACACTGCTTAATCCACGCTGATATTGTTGATGTGTTGTGTGGTCTGTTCAAAGATTCACTTTTCCTTCACCAATGAAAAAAAAAAAAGATATAAAGAAAAAAATGTAAATGACGCATCTAATCGTTTTCTTCTGAGTCTCTGACAAAGCCTTCGTGAAAAACTGGGATTATTTATTCAGTGAGAATGAAAGTTACATCTCCACACGACTGAATTTCTACAAAGTACCTGTATCGCATCCCACAAAGAGCCAGCCAAAAGGAAGAACGCTGCGGCGTGATCAAATCTCTGCTTTCCTAACAAAGAATAAGCATTCTTGAGAGCTGCCTTGCGCCATCTGTCTTGTGTAAAATCCCGAGCAAAAAACTGCGACATCTTCGTGTCTCTTACAGTTCTGAAAAATTAAAAAAAGGTATAAGAAAAGGTTCAAGTTTGTTTTAAAAACTTCAGCTATGTTGATCAAAAAAGGAAAAAGTCCACGTTCAAAAAAGAAGTTCATTAGCAGCGAAAGTGGGGGAAAATTAAAATCTAAATTACCGATATGCAATCGAAGTCATGACCTTTGAGATTAACGGGAAATATTGGATTAACTTAAGATCAATCAGTCAGGCCTGGAAAGATCTCCATGTTCTGTATTTTGTGATGAAATTGAGAAAGGTAGTTTTGAAATAAACATTGTGTTTAGATGACCGGAAATTTAAACAACCTGCACGAAACCTGATACACAAACGGACAAACCACTCATAAATTCCAACAATAGGCGAGAACAAACCTGTACAACCCACAGATTACATTCTTTTTCTTCATGGCCAGGTAAAACAGAGCACAGTCAATGGGATCTTGGTTCTTTGAAAACTGTGCTTTAGCAGTCTGCAGGGGAAAAGATTGGTTACACAAATTGAATCGTTAACCACATCAAAGATTTCACCACATCTCCGCCACTTCCTGCTGTAACCTCTATAGTGTAGTAGTTTTTTTGTTACCTTCTCTATCAGCCTTCTCAGCGTATCATTGCTCCTCACCCACCACCCAATGCCGTAACGTCTCAGTTCCGACCAAGTGGCCTCACCTCTCAGCACGGGAGGAACCATGGCTAATAATTCCTCCTCGGATTCAGAATGAAACGCCCATCCGTAATATGATGATGACAAGCCCTGCAAGAATTTCACTCTTGACATACTCTCTTAACAAAGGAAGTCTTTGACAATTCATAGCAATTAAACGTATTTAAGAAGGTAGTTCGTAGTGGAACATTAATCGCAGCCTTAACCCTGACCCCAAACCCACCCACGAGGAAACTTGAGAATTTCCCTCCCCACTCGAGGGTAACACAATAAAGTCTTGAAATTAAAATTAGTCTGATGAAACAACGACGAGAGAAATAGGGAAATCAAGTATGAGGAGAGAGATTGCTGTCGGCATGAGAGAGGTGAGTGCCTACAAAGATGAAACAGGAGTGTTGACTGTCTGAAGATGAAAGGTAAACGTCGGCACAGCATAAGGAGGCCAAGTGAATGCGTTCATAGGAAACGGGAATATTTGCAAAAAGGGTGGGGTGACTGCATTTGTATCTGTCGATATTCTTCTTTGATTTGGTAAATGATCGTCCACTCGGAGAAGGTGCATTTCTGCCAGAGAAAAACATGTCCCATAAGCGAGTTGGACTGTAAGATAAACAATAAACTTTACCCTTTCCTCAAGCACTGCCCTGTGTTTAGGAGGCAGTGACCTCATCAGGCAGGTATGATGTCTCATGGCAAGTAAAAAGCGCAACCCACACTCATCCACAGCATCTCCGCCACTCCCTGCTGTTGCTCCAATGCTTCCTGTTGTAGCGTATCCACCTCCGCCTCCACCGGGACCTCCCATCAGACCACCTACGCTGCTGTAACTTTCCTCTGCAAAGAAAAATGAACTTTAGTAACAGGCTACAACACGGTTTGTAGACCTTAAAGAATTGAGACTACAATTTCAAGATCGTCTTTTCTAATCTCTGTCAATCCTTGTTCAATCGTCCTGGAACTATTCTTAGCCCTTTTCTGTTTGTCAACTCACTCCTTTATCTGTGGTTTCACGCTATTTGACCCTGACTAGCTTCTAATTTCTCCTCACAATTTATCCCCCGAATCACACATTAAGGTCAAAGGAATAAAGAACTTGATCACCAACTAAAGAAGTTCTTGATTGTTAACCAAATACTCTTTGTCAGCGTCTTAGAGAGTATAATCAGGACAGTATGGAGAATATGCATACAGAGGGTGTAGAAGCATTTAAGACGATACTCTCTGATCCTCGAAAGTACTTGAATTGTTGTCGTTTAAAACCGGCTCACAAAGTAATGTTGTGGCTATATTTCAACAAGAATTCGACAATAAAACATTTTGAGGTACCCTCTTTCTTCGCAAACTTCACTCCTCTTTCAATTGAACCAGGACTTTCCTCCAAGTCGAGCTTGGTTGAGGCAAAGGTATCTGCCAGAGCCAACAGTTCCAGTTGTTCAATGCTGGTCAAGCCGGGAAGAGGTTTCCTGCTTAGCTGATTGGAAAGCAACTGAGCCTGGAAAAGACGAATTCAAAGTACACTGAAACATGAGCTAAGAAATGCTACATCAAATATACGAATCATTGGACCGTGGAAATGTAAAGGGTTGTATACCATTTACACTCTATGGTGTTTTTCCCGGAAATCATCGACGGAGAAGACGTAAAACCATTTTCATCCTCCAAGGAGACGTCACAAATTGCTTCCAATTAATATTTACTACAACTCCTTTAAGGCGCCTGATTGAGGACCTTCACTACTGCCATACGTAATTTAAAAAATACATTCTCTCTTTAATTAAAAAGTATTAACATAGGGTTTACGAGGCTACTTAAGCTACCATATATGTTCATTTGACTGAAACAATCTGTTTTACAAGGCTCGATGTATCATGCAAACCTTACTCGGTGGATTTAAAAAACACAATACCAATTCATGCAACAAGACGGAAAGGCGAGGAATCAAATCCACTTTCGACGCGCGAACTGGTGTTGAGACAATCGAAAGGCGTGACGATGTTGTCAACCTTCTACACGCGCTGCTGTTGGGATCTCCCTACGTTACTGCGAAATCTCTACTGCTCTGCGACGGAAAACCTAGTAGTTACCGACCTGTGCCAAGCCGAAGTGCACCGGACTACCAGCCTGTGCCACATGAGTTGGGCTGCTCTTGGCTCTCTTTTTCTCTAAGAATCTGTTGTCTTCATCGTCGGATTCAAAACTGGAGCCATAACGCGATAACTCAAACAGGGCACTGTAGTCTGTTTCATCAGCGGATGTTCCTTGTGTTCCATCTACTGAATCAGCTAGGGGAACAGACAGAACTGTATTTTTACGAAACTACGACATAAAAGCATTCAAATCCATGGGTACGCCAGTAGTTGAAAGCCAAACTCTTACAGAACCAAGTTATGATTAATTTCGTAAATATGAAATTTTGAAAAAAACTTTTCCTGGAAATACTTAGAACTACAAGACAAGCAACAGTGATGTCCGAGCATTGCAAAGGACAATTGTCAGGCCGCTGATTTCCAAACTTAAAGTATACTCCATTCTCATCTTCTCTGATTTCACCCATTTATTCAGTTTGAGTTGTCCTAAGTCTAAACAGTAAACATCCGTTAACATAAAGTACAAATCAACAAAAAGTACCAATGCTGATATTGGATAAAGGTATGTAAACTAATCCCTTAAAACTGATAAAATGAAATTATCATCACTCATGCGATCAAATGTAATTCCGGTGACAGGACTGCTTGACATTCGAAGAAAATCGATATTACGTGACATGCCAAACTAATATGAATACCTGCTGTAGCCGATCCACTGCCACTAGTGTCTTTATCAGCTGCAAGCAGAGCATACATTGGTAATGGCGGAACACAAAGTGCTCGTTCTTTTTCGTCGGGCACCAGTCCCTCTAGGTCTGGTTCGCTTGAGCTTGACACGTTTCCAATGCTCTTCATGCTACTCATGCTGCTAAGACGTGGCCTGCTGTGCGCTGATTGGACGACAGCTTTAGTGGCGGCTTCCATGGCCTCACGGCCAGCAACACAGTACACCTACGATAGAGGAAAGCAGCTGTGATTCACTGAACAGGGGCTTGACCAGATCACAAAGGGCACCAATCTCGTCGTTGGCAAAAGTCATCCATTTTTTTTTGCTACAAATCCAAGATCACCATGCCAAAATAGGAACTCTCAATTTCTTGATGGGCGAGAAAATTTATTTTGTACCTTTAAAAACGTTTGTGCCACAACATTGAATTATTATTCGGTATATAGTAGGTACTGATTATTTTAAACAAGGTGATTTACCTAAATGCTGATGCGGAAGAAATTGTTTAATTCAGTTGACGTAGTTAAAGTTCTTAGCGTAGTTACAGGAAAATTTTTGGCGGACTCTAACTAGTGGGGTTGGCGGTGTCTCCTTAGATTTCATGCTGAACTACAGTAACACACTATTTAATATAAATCATACCAAGTGATGTAATATCGCCCGGACTCTCCTTAATTTGCCAAAGTTCATGAGTTCCATGAGATGCTTGGGATGAAACTGAGGTAAAACAGGAGCTATAGTTCCGGCTCCCTCAAACAAACCAATTCCACCCCCTGGCGTTAGTGACAAGGGGACAAGCTTTCCTGACCCTCCCCTGGACACTTCGCTGACCTTCTGCAAGGTTACGGTAGGAGCAAAGGTCATGGTGTCCGAGGGGGAGAGGGTGCCGTCCTTCATTACTCTCCATTGTGAATACACCTGCATTTCGGTGCCCAGGCCTACCACAAGGACTCCATTGCGTATCCACGAGAGTGCTCTTGTTAGCAGCTGCCATTTGTTCTCTGATGTCAAATGAACACTGTGAAGAAGCAGCCATGTTTCCTTGCCAGTGGACGTACTCTCCCCTCTCACAGTTGTATTGGCTATTCTTGACGCACACCCCAAAATAAAGGCTTCATTGCCGATACAAACAGTTAGAATGTACGTACTATCCTCGGCGGAAGTCCATTCTAGACGAATCTGTGAATTATCGGTGAGAAACTTGCAGTCGAGTTTCAGTGTGTCCTCCAGAATCCAGTCCATTCCTCCTGACGATTCATTCTCCCAGATACACACTGAATAGTCAAGCTTTTCTTTTTCCTGCTCTTCAGTGTTCCTGCAGAGCGTGGCAATCCTCCCTGTGTAGGCACAACTGAGCGATAACACCTCCCCGGGTGCATCCAGTCCTAACACACGGCTGTCTGAATGCTCCGTGGAATGAGCACATTTCCTGCCATCTGACAGCCATGAAGTCTCTTCCCACGTGAACCGACCCTCTGAAACAATTTCCCTGCATGACCAAAACCTTACCTTCCCATCTGAACACGACGACGTGAACAAATACCGCGCTGGACAAGTCGGATTTACCGCAGAGGACGACATCTTATCAGCAGCTCTGGTAGCTGTTTTAATTGTCGTTCCACTAGGAAGCGGAAGCTTCTGTCGACAAACACACCTTGATACGATACTACTAGTCACGTGCCCTGATTGGGGCAAGTTTAGGGGACTCGCACTCCTGTTGGAAGCGCTACTGTTGCTTCTACTTAAAGGCTGTATAACCTCTGGGTAGGTCGATAGCGACTCCAAGCCTGATCCTTTCAGACTCGTTTCTGGTTTGGTAGCAGTGACAGTGACCTGCCACATGTAAATTATAGACACAGTATCACTTTGCTCATCGTTGATGTTCTCAACACCGACCACGTAAAAAGTGTCTTCAGATCTGTGCGAACTTTGTTGATGATCTTCCTCATTCCCACTACTCGGTTTCTCGTTAGAGGAAAAGAAACAAGAGGACTTTACGGAGCTCTCTGTGAAAACGTGCAGTAATAATGGCTCTCGTAGGACATCCTTAGAGTCAGCTAACGAACAAAGCTTCAGAATACAGCCAGGTGTTGCGCCAGATTGTCTACTGACTATTGACTCAATGAAGCACTCAACAGGAACTGCACTGCTGGGGCTTTCAAAATCTAATGAGTCTAAACTCCCTTCACTACCACTTGAATACAGAGTTGAACGTGTTCTGGTCTTGTTGCTTGATATATAACCTTGTAAAGTTCTGGCATCCAAGATCACTTGATAAAATCTGTAACAAGTCCCATCTAAGGCCAAAAAACACGCACAAGGAGCGACAGCATGGGGCGGAATCGATGTACTGCTGTCGAATGAGATCAGGGAGTGAGAGAAAAGGGTTGGAACCCAAGCTATGTTCAGAAAAGCATTTGGGCGAGAGGAGTTTACACGCGTGAGCTCCATGACTCCACCACTCTGCCGTAATGGTGACACGCTCTCCACCTTCCACACAATGAGTTCGTTGCAATGTAGCTTTCGAGTTTTGCTTTTGTCATCTATCATACTTAGTAACTCCACATTGTTCAAATTGTCTTCGCCCTTTCTCGCTTCCATTTCGTGACTTGACGTGGAAAGCATCAGGGGCAGCTCTGGATGGGCTAAGATGTTAGTGATGGGATATCTATGTCCACATCTGCGGGCATGATGAGAAACACTAACAACAGTAGAAAATGATGAGTTGTCAGCAAATGCAAGTTGCCAGAGGTTCAGAGCACCGTCTCTGTGCGTTGAAATCATGATAGCCGTAGGATGCGTCCCTCCAGTCAAATTACCAAAACTTGAACGGGAAATGTTGAGTCCCGTTCCGTTGGCTTTTGTTGCCGTCCGCTGACCTGCTAAGACTACGTCACTCTTGTTGACCATCACGTTCCTCAGAGCTCGGACTTTGTCTTCCCTCGGACAATAAACAATGAGCTTGTTCAATAAAGAGTTCGCGTCTGCAGGGGGAAGAACATTGGGGATGCGTGATAAAAAGCTAACTTGAGGCTGTCTGTATGGTACACCATTCTGCACGTCAAGCCATTCCACAAGCCACACCAGAAGTGAACCATCTACGGGATGAACAGCGAGAAGTGTGTCAGGGCTGTTGTACCACTCGTGGAGAAGATTACCAATACATGAGGATACCACTGCGGCGTAAGTACTTGATTCCTCAACGTCACTAAGTGTGTCATCTTGGATGTGTTTTAAGTAATCTAAAGGAGTTCTTGGTCTCGGTGTGGAAGGGATCTTGATTTCTTTCGCCATCTCTGGTGCAGGTATTTCTTTCGTGACAGCTATTGAAAAGATAAAAATACCCACAGCTGTAAAAGAAATTCATATTTACCCCAACCTTTGCAGATGCCTTCCTGAAAAGAATTAGAACGCTCGTCGCTTTGCTAAGGTTAGGCAAAACTCGATTCCTTGTGACTCTAGGAGAAGTCTTTTCTGTTCCATCAGAAAATTCAATAGGTTAGCACCTTTTGGGGCACTGGCTCTGCTCTGGCTTTTAAGCATATATCTCTTCATCTTTTTGAACATTTTATGGCAAGAAATGGACTAGTCTATTTCGACAACCAACAGAACTCAAACTGCACTGTAAACAAAAAATGCTAATACATTGAAATCGGATCCTCTGCGTGGAGCCTTTTTCTGTGAAAAGGTCGCTAGGGAGTTCACGCCTTATGGAGATTATGGCAACTCTACCTAAAGTGTTATCTAGCTGATTCTTACGTTTGTAAGATTCTGGAAATTCCTCGTCACTCGGCACCAAGAGCTCTGCCTCACTGTTGGAAGAGTCATCGCTGATGTCTATACTCTCCACTTCAAGAGCGAGAACTGGTGCGCCAAGACACGACTCAGCCGCCATGGTAAACTGAATTTCTTTGTTGTTCAACCAGTGAAGAACAAAACTACTGTGATTACTGCTTGAGATGGAATCAAGCGAGGACAGGATTGGAATATCATTCAGAGCATTCACCGCAACAGCGATGTGAAATTGCAAGGCTGATGGCAGTTGGTATCTCAGTAGAGGATCTTCTGCTGTGTCATCCTTGGCTGCAGGCTTTTTCGGTTGCTGTGATAAATGCCACATGCACCTGTGATGATTCTTTGTGGGATGGGAGGGTGAGGCATTGTGGTCACCTTGCTTGATGGACTCACACCAGATGCGGCAGACATTGTCAGTGCATGAAGTAAGAAGACAGTTGGCTACAGTTGAGCTAAAAGATGATAAGACCATAAAGAAACAAATTTTTTGATATTTAGACTTGGCAATTCTTCAGTGAAGTTAGCCGGTTTCTGGTAATTTTAAATTTGTACCCTAAAGTATTGACCTAAAAGTGTCTGTCCGAGACCAGGAAAGTAACACACACGGTGAAAGACCAAGTAATGCATAAAATTAATATGGAATGGAATGTGGAATAATAATTTCAAATATAAAACTGAAAAACATTGTTTAAAATTTGAAAATATTAACCCTTTTCTTCCTTTACCAACACCATTATACCAACCAGAATTTGCTAATAGTGATGAGAATAGAATTACCAATCAGGAAGGTCAGTGCAGTTTGACACCAAATTCTCTTAACCATAAATAAGTTACAGGGAGGTATATAAAAACTGTAATTAAGGCAAGTTATCAATTGGATCTCAAGAGTCTAAGGGTAATATATCAAAATCTCACACACTCAAGAACTTGTCGGGGGTAAGAAGTAAAGAATGTTTACATACACAGGTATATATTTGCTGGTTTTTCTCCAAGAAATTCCTGTCACTGGTCCAGGATGAGCCAGATACACAAAAGTGTAGTCTAAAACACCACTGTTCAGAAACTGTCCTCTTTCTTGCAGCTCTTCAGTCTCATATTGTGGATTGACTGCAAAGTGCAAAAATGTAGAAGATTAAATAGTGCCACGCACATTTGCTGACTGGATGTAGTAAGAGAATAAGCTGCAGCAGTATCTTGTTTTGGAAACAATATACATAGATTGGTTAGCTTCATAGACCTGTTTCATTTAACAATTAACATAATTTCCAAAACAGAACAGGCATCAGAACAAACTTGGCTGCACCTCATGACACACACTGACCTTGGTTGTTGTCAAACCACACTTTGATAAGACGATCATGCTACAAAAAAAAATTTAAAGCAAAGAGAGATTTAGTTCTAAAAGCTTTTTTCATTTAACTCTTCTGGCCTTTTAACCATTGTTCATCTGGGAGTTACTAAAAGACAGCTCCTCTTCACAAATATCAACACATTTCAAAGCTGAAAGGTGATGAGAAGTGATGGCAAAGATATCAATTTCAGAATGTTGTCTGATTCAAAACCAAATTCTCAGGACTAAACTTAAAGGAAATACATGAAAAACTGCACAAAGACCTAATATTGAGATCTTGTGAGTGAATGGTTTTAGGGTCTTTATTGTCACAAAATTTCATGTAAATTACATTAAAACAGGAAAAGACCTGAACTGGAAGAAAAAAGACAATTTAAGACACACATATCAACATCTGTAAGGTCTTGACAAACTTCGACATAGACACACAGCATATCTTTGAGGTTTACCTTTCCAACTGAACAGAAATACTGGCCATCAGGAGAAAACTGCAGAAGGTGAACTGGAACAGAAGGCCTAAATCAAGAAGGCACAAAGATTACATTTTTATCAAACAGAGAGAATGTTTGTGTGAAAACAGATGAATTAATGACATCAGCAATGTCAATAGTGTAATGTTTGTAGATAGAAATAAGAGAGATGGTAAGTTTTGAGGTCAGTAAAGAAATAGAGAATTATGTTTGTTTTGTCTTGTCACGAGCGTGGGACAAAAAAAAAAAATTCTGAGTCCCCATGAGGAATTGCACCTCAGACCTTTGGATTCCACACCCCAATGCTCTACCACTGAGCCACAGAGACTCCATGGTGGGCGAGGTCTGTTACAAAGTTCATATGAAAAAGAAACTTGTTTGTACAGATATGAAACAACCAATGCACAGAAACATATTTGAAAACTAAAAGCTAATATAACATACTACATACTTGCATGTCCAAATACATGTCCAAAACACATTCTCCTCTAATAAGTTTCTCTGTTCATGGTAGTCTTCACAGCTCCACAGCTGAATAAAATCCCCTCCCACAAGTAGTCGTTTTCCTGGAAAAAAAAACAGAGCAATGAGTGCTCCAACCTTGACATTGTTGACAAAAGTTCAATCTTTACACAAGGTTAATGTTTTTCCATTTCTATAGGAAAAAAAACCTGTGAACTATAATGTCAATAAATAAATAAAAACAACACCAGCCTCCTTGCAAGCTCTTATTATTACCACTGCAACATGAGCATTTCTTGGCCCGTGAGAAAGTCTGAGTACTAGAGGTAAGTTAGCCAGCAAAACGACTGCTAAAGATCTGGCACTACTGGTAAAAATGAGTATTAGCACCAGACTAGCACTTGTCCAGAAGCACTAATAACAAGGAATACTTGATGGCTTAAATAACAATGACATAATAATAATAATAACATGTTCAACCAGGGTAAACCCATCAGCTGAAACTGTTATAAATGGGTGCCCTGGGAGACTAAAAAATTAACAATTAAAGAAAAAATACCTGTAACACATGAACCAACGGAAAAATGTAAAAACTATTTACAATGTCGATGGATAAAAACCAAGAATTATATAACTATATCAAAAAAATCCAAAAGATTTTCCAGAACTCTGAAAAAAAATATCATTAAGCTGTGTTTTAAAAATCACTATAGAGTCAACTTCCTTATGATGCAGTGGCAAGTTATTGAAAGTCTGGGCTCCAGTATAAAATGTTCCTTTCTTGGCAGATTATGTATGGACTTTAGGAATTAAAATACCTAAACCATTACGCCAAGTGGAATAAACATGCAAAGACTTGATAAAATAACTCTTAAAAAGATCTGGAGCAATGTGATGGAAACACTTAAAAACAAAAGTTAAATTGTGCATAGTAGAACACCCCTTAACGGACTTCCAACTTAGTTGCCATAACAGTTGATGGCAACTGAGACTACTTTCCTTCAGAATGATTCTTGCAGCCCTTGCTTGATGTCATTCTTAAGATTAATAATAATAATAATAATAATGACTATAATATCCAAACAGAGTTGAAATACCTTCTCTGTTCCACGACAAACAAGTAATCCTAAAGTTTAGGCAAAGTTCTGCAGATTTTTCCCAATGAAAAGGAAAGCCCTAAAAAACAAGCAAAAGTGCAAATTCATAGTCTGAAAAACTTCATCCTTAAATGATTAAATCAAACTTAAGAAATACAGTAAGTATATATACTGACATACATGGTTGTTACCAGCTGTTGCTGATTTGGCATCAAATATGATAACCTGTTTTCCATAAGATGCTGCAATCTGTTAAAAAATAATGATAATTTGTCTCAGATTTAATTGTGCAGACATCCTTCATATTCCTATAGTGCATATAAATCAAGTGTGTGCACTCCTTAAAGTGTCATAGAAAAAAATTCTCTTTAAACAACACTTATACCACTGATAAAGCTAGAGTTACTCTCTGCTAAGCCTCCCCAAGCCTAAATAGAGCTTCTTTCATGCTCTCCTAACTTTTTGCATGCTTCATATCTCCAGGGCATGCTGATGCAAGGCTATGATTGGCTGTTGTAATTTCTTTGATTTTTGTTTTACAACACTCATTTGAAAAGCACTCTACTGTAACACTGCTTTGATTTCATTGCACAAATGTACCTTTCCATCAGAATCACAGCAGTCAATACAGCTAACTTCTTTATAACCATACAGTGAACCAGGAATAATCTGCACTCGAGTGAAGCCACTCAACAGGATAACAACATCACAGCCAGATGCATAGGCCTTGGAAAACAAAGAATACCAAATACAAAGCAAACAAACGTATGTCAGACTATAATCTCAATTCAGTGTTCATGGAATATATTTCTGGAATATATTTCACGTCGATAAAGAGCATAAAAAAATTTGCTTTAGGCTTCTGTGATTAGCCTGAATTTCTACAATATAGTTTAAGACCTGATAGCATTTTCAAAGCTTACTGTAACAAAAAGAAAAGTTTTAAAATGATATATATCGATCTCTAGAGTCATTTAGTTACTGGGCTAAAAATCAATTTATAAGCCAATTTACGAGGTATTTCTTATGATTGAAGGCGAAATAAACATTGTCATTCATTCATAGTGGTACCATTATTGATATGTTGACATCTGCCTTCCTCTGAATTCATTATTTTCTGATCAAAACCGTAAACCAGTAATTAAATTATTCAGCTCGAACTGTACCGTGAAAGGGTGATCATCTACGCTGCCAACGGCGATTGCAGCCTTGTCGTCGAATGTATTCGTCGCCCCTGTTAATACCTGATGAAGTTTCATTATCAAAAGATAGAATCATGATCATGTTTTGGAAAGAGAACGACAAAAACTCTAGTTCGCAACACAGAAAACGCCGCCATTACTTGACATGAATTTGCCTCAACTAGAATCGAGAAATCCGCTGGTTGATCATTGCAGAGTCACGTTGCTGGTCAGTGGTTAATCCCATTAGGGAAAATAAAATGGCGGACTTGGATGATGGTGAAGACGGAAACGATTTTTTCCGCAGTTTTGCCGATGTTCCCTTGAATCCTCCGGAGAAAAGAGATATGTGTTCGAGGTGTAAGTAAGTAAACTTTGGTCATGTTTACTTTTTGTTATTTCCGCTGTCATTGCTGTGAAGATTGACGTTCTAATAAAGCAGATAGATGAGTAAAGACTGTGTACAAATGTCCAGCATATACATACACACACACACGCACACACCCACACACACACACATATATATAAGTAACAATATTACCTTGTATTTATGTATGTATATATATAAATTAATTTTGTTTTTGTAAGATGTCATACAGGTTAAATACATGATTTCCTTGGATTCTTAAAAATTCTCTTTCGTTTTATAGGAGACCACTTGCAGTGTGCCTATGCGCTCATTTTCCTTCTCATTTTCTTCAAATATCGACTACGATTCACGTGTTGCAACATCCTCGTGAGGTTTGTCCTATTAGATTTATATTGTAAATGTCTCTTTGTTATCCAGAGTTATTTGGGGAAGGAGGGGGTGAGTAAAACGGCTGCTTACCAACGATCTTACACCACTGTTAATATTTTTTAGTCAAATTTGTATGACCTATTCATATTCATAGCTTCTTATTCCATGATCAGTGGCCACTCCATAAGCAAAATTAATGAAACCCTTAGAAATGCACCTCCAGAAAATTTAGAAAATGGGTATTTTAAAAATGTTACCTTGACATATGATGCAGTTTAAAAATTGCCATCCTCATTATTATCATTATCATCATAAGGGCTGTCAGTAAGTTTTTAAGCAGCCATTACATTGGAGATATCACTGTTAACAGTGTAACAGAGTCGTAGCAATCAACATCCTCACCAGTAGCATTTACATGTGGTGAGCTCAGTCATAACAAATGTTTCGGGTTATGGCCCCCCTTGAAAGCCCTAATCAGAATCATCCTTACTGGGAGTCATAGTTGTCACCAGGTTACTATTACTTAAAATGATGCTATTTGAACATGAACATCATGATCCTATAGCACAGGCTTTAGACAAATGGTCTGAAGCAAAACATCAGAATGTGCATCAACAGAAATACAGGGGAAGGAGATGTCAAAAATGATACTGTGCATGGTTTCCTAACTTGCTGCTATGATGATTGAATAAAGGAAACTCCTCTTTCTAGGAATCCAGGCTTTTGACAACTGTCCCACTCCTGGAGGCTTGTTTGCCTCCAGATAAAATTGTCATCAGACGTGGGAGAAGATTCCACAAAAATGACTGGCCAGATCTCCATGAATTACTCGACAAACCAACTACACTCCTTTTATATCCAGGACCTACAGGTTGGCACAATTATCTTATAATTAAACCTTTTGCACCCAAAATCAATATGTCAATTTTCTGCATTGTCTGCTGTACACTTTGTGGTAAAATCAAACCCTATCTCTGTGCTGTTTTTTTTTTCTCATCACCTTTCCGCCTACTCAACAATGTAACTTGCTATTGATGGGAGAAGACTCTTTTTGGTCACTGACAGAAGGGAAAGAGTTAATTACTTTGTTGTATCCCTCTCTTGTGTAGGAAGCAGTGGCCTTGGACTGCAGATCAAATGATCAAAGTTAGCTTTAAGTACAGGGTCATGTTATTGTGTTGGTGGACAAGACACTGTAGTCTTACAAGGTCCCTCTCCACTCAGGAGAATAAACTGGCATTGACACACTGTATTACACACTGGATACCAGGCTCACCTCATCCTTTATATTATATAGCTTGACCACATTTTTGTTTTGAATTTTCATCAAACTGACCATATCTCTTTACTTTCAGCTGAAAATATAAAAACACTGGGTGAACCTCCCTTAGGAGAAAATTATGATATTATTGTCCTTGATGGAACATGGAGACAAGCCAAGGATATTTTTCATAACAATCCATTTTTATGTCAAGCTAGACAGGTATGTTCATAAGTGTCAAAATGCCTTTTGAATTTTGATATTGTAAATTAAAGTACTGCAAATTAGATGTAATATTTGTGGTGTTCTTGAATTAATTCAAGGTGCAATTAGTGCATGACCACATCAGTGAATACGTGATCAGAACCCAGCCTAACAGTAAAAGTTTATGTACAGTTGAAGCCATTGCTTTGTCATTATCTATTCTGGAGAAAAATGAGGAAATTGCAGAGGTGAGGCATGATGTATTAATAACTTCATTGTTTTATGACCAAAGTACTTGACATAGTCTTATTGTTGTGCTATTATTATTGTTGTGCTATTAAGTTGATGTAAGTAGTAGCAAATTGTTAGAATACATCAAACATTGTCTTCCTAAGTTGTCCAGGATCAATATCAGTATCTGGGCAACTGTCCACCTACCCCTCCCCTAGCCCAACAATAACCCTAACTTGCTATCAATTGACTGTTGTTGGATTAGGGGAGGGGTAGGTGGGCAGTTACCCAGATACTGATATTGATCTATTGTCCTTAAGAAACAAACATACTTTAAGACTGAGGTAACAGCCAGATTGTTTCAACCATGGAACGTTGAACCCTTTGATCCCCAAGAGTGACTAACATCTGATTTCTCCTTACAATATCACCCCCTGAATCAAATTTTAAGGTCATGAGAATAAAGGAAATGATCACCAACCAAAGAAGCCCTTGATTGTTTCACAAATTCTCTTTGTTAGCTACTGAGGTAATGTAAAGAGAACAGAATGGAAAATGTGCATGATGACATGATGATGTTAGGGTGTAACAGGTTAAGATTTGATTATTAAAAAATAGGTGCAACAACTTCAGCTCTGAACCTACTAATGATCCAGCTTACCGTAAAGTCTCTGTTGCTCGGTGGTAGAGCATCAGAGCGCCTAAGCTGAAGATCTGAGGTTCGATTCCTCATAGGAACTCAGAATTTTTTCTCTGTCCTACGCCCGTGACAAGACGAAAAGACATCTCTCTTCATTTCATTTCCGAGCTTATAACTTTACCGTCTTTCTGATTCTACTAACTACAGCGTTGAATGTTTCTAGTTTGCAGCGTAATGTCTGTAAGATACTCTCAGCTTACGGTTGAAAACGAACAATTCCTGTGGTTTTTTTTTCCTCAGACTTTAATTCGACCTTTGAGGGCATTGTGTAAAATACAGTTGGAGCATGGTGCTGTGGTACATTTCAATAAGGAAAATGAAGACGAAATCATGTTAAGAGCGTAAGTGGAAAATCTTGTGATGAAGAAGTGAAACTTGTTTTAACATCAAACTGACAATTTATTTCGTTTCCCGATGTTACTCTTGTGAAAATATAGCGTGGAAATCGATTTGCATCTTACTTTTTCTCTTTCAAATCCTTTTTCAGTAAAAGACAAGAACGAAGTCATAGAAAGAAAATGGGTGGATTGAGTGAAAAGGAAAGATGACAAGATATAAGAATAGCGTCCAAGGAGAAACTCGTGATTGACTATTTAGCGTGGGTTTTTACCTTCCTTTTTAACCTTCATTTTACCTAACTGGGGCTATCGCAGAGCTTCTGGTTTGGATACCGGTTTACAGAATTTGTCCAAGATAAGAAGAGGTAGACACGGGAAAACTTCGGAGTCCTAACTCATTTGCTTTGTGGAAACAGTTTTGTGAATCTGACTGTTCATATGTTTTTAAGATAATTTGTTTTTATCAACTTAGTTTATAAAGTAGCTTGGCCTTCGTAAAGAGTTTCTAAAGCTAAGGGTTTGAGCGTGAGCCCCCGTCACTTTGTTCATGTGCTTTGTTCATGGTGCGCTACAAGATTTCAGTACAGGATATGATAATGTAGCATGCACTAGCAAAACTTTGTCCCTTTTTATTTAAGTATCTCTTTGTGCACATGGTTATCATTGAACCCAAAACTGTCGCACTGCGTTCACCAAGACGTGGCCACTCTTATGCCTTTTTTAGCTCTTCTTTACCCCTAGGCAGAATTTTTCTGTAAATAAAACTGAAGAATACTTTAACATGCTTACATTTTTTTTATTACTTCTAGTTACACAGCTTTCTTATTTGTTTTGTGTTTATTTAGAGCGTTTTATTTTAGCAAAATTATAACTTATTCAATATTTACCCCCTGTCAAACCCCGGAAAGCGAACAAGATAAGCCTTGTTTACACTAGCTTGTCGATAACCAATACCCGAGCACAGTTCAAAAGCAGTCCGTTTGACCAGGACTGTTGTCAGTGTAAAAGCAAACGTATTTCCTCAGGCGCGACCCGTTAGCGTTCATACTTCAGCAATTTGCAATTGAGTGTCCAAAGTAATCTAGGTTTGCTTGGGTTTCACTTAACCTTTCTCTGTGACTGGTCCTGAAAACTCGACCATCCCTTTAACCAATCAGATGTATAACTAAAAACAATCGCGACTTAGTCATTTGCGTTTTCCCGCGCTTCGAACAATTTGCTCGTTTTCACTTTGATTTCTCATTGGCTAATTCCAATTTAAGTCTTTGTTCTGATTGGTCGCTGGGATTACTTTGGTTGTCAATTCAAAACTGATATGTTAATCGGTAATAGCTTTAGCCCTGGCATTATGAGCCTTAGCAATGAGTTCTGAGGTCTTTATGATTCCTTTACTGACTCCAACTCCAATTAAACTCCCAAAGAAACCGCCAACCATGGCCCCTACTACGGGCACCGGAATGAGTACTTGCCCCACAATGGTTCCAGTAGTTCCTCCGATAAACTGGCAACCCGAGTCACACAACTTCCGTCTTACAGTAGACTTAAACTGCGAGTTTGTTATCAAGCCTTTATCACGCTGCATTTTCGAACGCGTCACACTTCCGGCGGTTAGAGCGATGTCGACCAAAACTGATATTGCTATACCTGCCGCAGCTTGCCCCAGGGCCATCGCAGCCGTTTCTATGCCAACGGTAGCCGTGCTTTCGGCGGCTG